GTGGCTGCGGGTTCTGGTTTGCTCTGCAAGTGCAGAGCGTGTCTGAGGAGCTCAGGAAGTGGAATTTCATCCCTTCGGAAAGAGTCAAATCTTCCTTGTCCCTACAAAACTTGCAGGACCCACGAAGTCAGGCTTAACCTTTTGCCATATACTTTTGCCATCGGTTTTATAGCCAGGTATCGGGTCAGATGGGACTCCGTTCCACATCATGAAGCAGAAGCTTTGAATGAGTTAATCATCAGAGTTGCTTTGGATGGAAATGACTAAGCACACCACATTCCTGAAGCATTACTTGTTTTGATATAAAATCTGCTTGCTTGGTACTGCCCATGTCTTTCAGCCATCTGAATGACACATTTTTGTTCAGAAAAGGTTCAGGTCTGTTGTGGAGCTGAACAGAATGAGAGTAGCTGAAAGCTCTGGAAGTCCTTCCTGCTGCACTGGCTGTACCCTCATCCTTCCAGGACAGCTTCCCTAGCCTTCCCAAGACCAGAAACTGCCTTGTATTGGGCTACCGACACAGGAGGCTTAATGGCAAGGAGTTCTGTCATTTCTTAGGTGTCTTAGAACCACGTGGCTCGTAAAAGGAGCAAAAGATTGCTTCAGAACTGCATGGGCTTGCCAGATCATTGATTTGCTTGTTCTCATGCCTGTTGTACAGCAGGATAAGGTAAGGTGCTGTGCTGGTGTCTTTGTCCAGCTGTTTAGCTGCCAGCATGATTTGTTGAGGGGTGTTGTAGGGACCCACAGCAGGTGGGCTTGATCTCAGCTCTGAAGGGTGCTTCATTCTTGAACAGTTCTTTCCTTCGGTTTGTGTTTTCAGGAAACTGAGCTGCCTTGAAACTGTATAGAAAATGCTTAGAATGCTCTCTGCCTTTCATAATTCGAAGGGGACTAAGGGCTGCCTGTCGTGTTGTGAATGTGCCTCGTTTGTCTGTTTTGGATAAACCTGTTTTGTCCCTCTTAGTTCTATGCTGTCTCTCTTGTGGGGAGAGATGTGTGCTGTTTCTGCCATACTTTGCTTGTGGCTGTTACTTTCAGTGAATTAATTCAGTATTTTTGGCTCCATTGTGCAGCTGTAAGTACTAATGCTGTAGGGATGATAGATTTGGCTTTTGTGGAAGTACTGGAAAGCGTATTGGTGCTGCTGAAGGTGTTTGGAAGGAGGCATGGAGACAGAAGCAGTCACTGAAAGTCAGGTTAATGTGTGAAGAGAATGGTGGGGTGGTCGCTGATGTCCGAGTGCTGCTGCCTGACTCAGGTGAGCTCTGCCTGTTGTGTGTCTCTCTGAGCTACGTGGTGGCCTGTCTCAGGCTGTGTCTGGGGCTGTCAGGCATGGGTCAGACCACTCCAGACTCCTCTTCCTTCGCTTAATATCAGCTTTTACTTCTGGCCTTGGCTCATGTAATGAATTTAGATTGAATGCCTGCATGCTGATAGCAGCCAGCTGCCTGGCAAGCCTGTGCAGGTGAAGAGCTGCATTCTTCTCCTTGGAGGATGGGTTATTTGGGAAGGCAGTTCAGCACTGCTGCTGGAGGAGCAGCACTTAGCAGGAGAGCGTGAGGTGCTTTGAATTTGTGTTCTACTGCCTTCATTTAAGATGAGCCAGGAGTCATGTGTTTCTACCTGTATGTGATAATGCAAAGATCAGAGACGTACCTTGGGTAGACCTTTGCTGCTGCACTCAGAACAACGTGGCTCTGTTCCCATCTCTTCTAGTTTGGCTTTTCTCATTGAAGCCCATGCATGCTGGCTAGCCTGTGCTTTAGGTCCTCGGGAGCAGCCCAGAGCACTGTTTTTCTCATAGTTCCGATGACACAGGGAAGAGGAAAGTTGCTTTGCTGTCTGCTAATCAGAGCTGTGCAGACAGGGATTGAGGAAGGATGGATCTCCTCTGGCTCAGGATGTTTTAGAAACAATGCCCTATTTATAGGAGAGGGCAAAGGCCTGGGGCTGCCTGTGAGCAGCAGAGGAGCAGCCTGGCCTAGGGTCTCACCGTGGGGTGTGGTAGCACAGCAGTACCCCGGCCAAAGGAATCGGGAATGATGGGACTGTAGGTGTGGTTTCCGTTTTATTAACAGTTGTGTGTAATTCTTAGACTTGTTCTGTTCTTTTCCTGCTCCCGTGTGATGGGATCGACAGCCCCCATTAGTTTGCTTGTCCCCTGCCTGCTCCTTGCTGCTGGTGGGGAGGGAGTGTGTGCTGTGCTGTGCTGTTTGCAGTTGGCAGGGCTGCGTGCACAGGAGCAGCTTGCCTGCGCTGCTTTGGAAACAGGGCAGGGTGGTGGTCAGGAGGGGTGCCGGTATGAGCGCACTGAGGATACGGCAGTGCTGATAGGGGACGGAGAGCTGATGGTGCAGCATGTACCTTCAACTCAGTTGCTCACTCGTATAGTCTAAATTTAGCCCATTCATTAATCATAGAACCACAGAATGGTTGAGTTGGAAGGGATCCCAGAGCCCCCAAGCCCCACTTCATTGCGGGCTGGTTCCCTTCCACCAGCTTGTGCTGCCCAGGGCCTCATCCAGCCTGGCCTTGAGCTCCTCCAGGTATAGGGCACCTACAGCTTCTCTGGCCAGACTGTGGCAGGGTCTCACCGCCCTCTGAGTTAAGAATTTCCTCCTCACATCTAACCTAAACCTCCCCTCTTCTAGTTTAAAACTCTCTCAGTGATAATTGGGAGGATTATTCGCAACTGTCTGGGACAATATGATGAAAAATACTTGTCTTCAGGAACCTATATTGTTCTCTCTGAAGACAGGCAGCAGTGACTTTTTTTTTGCCACAGCAAGCAACACTGCTTTGGTGCAAAGTGTGGAAGGCCAGCAGCATGCTGAGGCTTGGAGCTGTGTGTGACAGATTTGTTGGCTGGATCTCTGCAGCAAACCCACTTCTCCCTGGTGGTAAGGTGGCGGTTTCACTTGGTTTTCTTGCTGCAGTACTATCTGCTGGAGAAATCATGTCATTTCTTTGGTGTTCCTTCTCTGCTGATCTAAACACAGCTCTCTTTTTCCCAATTCACCAGTTTTCTCTGCTTTTTGACTCCTATTGTTTGTCTTCCTAAAAATTCCCCTGACTGCCAGCCACTGCCCTCCAGTTTCCCTGCTGGCAAAGTTAGATCAGGTGTTGACACGCAGAACATCAAACAAGTTTTCACTTGTGCTGTTGAGCTCTTCTCCAGTCAACACAGCCATGCAAATCTGCCTGTGTGAAGCAGCAGCCATGCTGCTGTTGCTGACTCTGGAGAGGTAGATGTGGTTCTCTGTCAATAGAGCTGGCATGGTGTCTTGTATCTTGCAATATAGAGAGCTCCAGTGGAGATGTGCTGCTGCAGCGGTTGACTATGGGCTGCCTGAGGTGCTTTGAGCAGTGCAGAGCATCAGAGAAACAGAACACTCCTGTCTGGCCTGCATCAGTACAAGTACACTGCAGAGGAGCTGGCTGGGAGTTCTGCTGCAGACAGGACGTGGTGCTGTGTTCCTGTGCCACCAAATAATTTCCTTGAGTTTGGGCCTTGGGGATCCCTGGCAGCGTTTTATTCTTGTTGCAGTGTTTTATCTGTTTTTAACCCAGTGAGACCTGTAGTTCCTTTTGTTAGCCCTCCCAGGTATATTCAGCAGCAACAAGTTTTGTGGAGAGTGCGCTGAGAAAGGCAGTCTTGAATGTGTGGTTTGGGGAGGAATGTTCTTCAGCAGTTGCCAAGGTACAGCTGGGAACTCCTGGTGTTGTGTATGGTTGGAGTGCAGCTGATGTTTTTCTCTTTTTCTGTCCTCAGGTTGCACAAGGAGGCAGTTCTTGCAGGACCCAGTGGCTCTTGGATGCCCCTGGATGCTTTGGAGACTCATGCCAACTTGATGCATGCGAGACACAGGTGAAACTGGGCACAACTGGAGATGGGGTGTTTGTAAGCACCTTGGCACTTGCCATGCACCCAACAGAGACAGGTGACAGTAGCTTCTCCCGCTCTGCTGTGCAGACCCTCTCTCGGAGCCACTGCCGCAACATCAAACAGAAGATCTCCCAGTGGGAAGGGAGAACACAAGGCTGCTCCAGCAAGGAGAAACAGCAGCTGAATGATTTTGGAGTAAAATATGATCCAGGCTGCGATGTTCTGTCCAAAGTGAAGCTTGAAGATATAGAGAAGGGCAGAAAGGCTGGGTCTAAAGATCCAAAGAACTTGGGTTTGGACTTCAGGGAAAATGCAAGGAGTTGCTTGCAAACTGTTGACTGTGGTGACCTCAAGTCCTGTGCGTGCAGCCATGCTTCCCAAGCCAAGGAGAATGGAAAATGGCAAGCAGGTTTCCCAGACCCGGGGGAGGCACTGCCTCCAGGCAACTTCTACACTTTGCAAGGGCTGTGGAGGAAAGTAGATCCTAGCACAGCCCTGCCAGTTCCTGTGGACCTTCAGAAGAAGTGGGGGAACTGTGGCTTCACAGAAAGAGAATGGAAAGCCAAAGGAGTGGAATTGTTCTGCGGCGCAGAGAGGAATGTGAAAAACTCTTACTTGGAGGCTGTGGAGCAAGAGGAGAAGTTGGCTGCAGTCCCACCACCCAAACCCCGTAGGACTTTCCGCTACCTTGCAGAAAACTGTGCCAGCAGCTGCAGTGATGCCAGTGCTACCAAGGAATCTCCCCTGGAAAAGAAACACGGAGGAGATCTGGTTTCATTTTCTAACAATCTTGAGAAGAGAACGGTCAGCAGGAAGATCCGAGGAAGAGTCCAGAGGTATGTTGATTCATCTGTCATCTATGAAACTCGTTCCATTAAATCAGATTCTGCATGGGTTTAAACAGCTTGCTTGCCATGATATCCTTGTGGAGATGATGATCAGTACTGTTGATGAGGAGACGATATTTCTGGATGAAAGTACCACCTTTCTAACATTCTGTACACATTGCTTTTGCTGCTGATAATCTTTTAAATGCTCAAAGCCCCAACATTTATCAATCCCACACTTTGAAACATGAGTGACAATATGCCGACCCCAGGGAGAGCTTGTTCTCAGTTGCAACTTGTAGATTACAGAGTGGCCTTCTTTTGTGGCAGTATTGCTGCTAAATGTTCAGATTTTCCTCTGAGTGAAAGATTATTCTGTTGGAGAATTGTTATTTATTGTCTTCAAGTTGGAGGCTGTCAGTTGTGGGTGCCCCTCTAGCAGCTGTTTAGGGCAGCTGTGCTAGAAATGAGTGTAAGCACTATGAATGGAGATGTGACCAGGACTCCTAAATCCTTTTTTCACAGTGGCAAGGTGTGCAGCAAACCCTGTAAGTTTTGTGATGATGGGTTAAATCCCAGTCATCTCCTTTGTGACCTCTATGTCATTATTTTGGGTTGGAGGCCAAATATATGAAAACGCCAACTCCCAAAGGTTCCTTTAGCAAGAACAGTAGAGGAGAGGTCCTGTAGAAAAGTACTTAATTCAGAGTACTGCTGCAAGTACTAAGTCTGCAAAAGCTGTGACAGGATGGGATGGGGTTTACCTTACCTGGTTGTGGTGTGCTTAGCCATGGAGCCTCAAACTCCATTTTTTAAATTTTAAAACCTTCCAGGGTAAGTGAGCAGGACTTGATTGGCAATCAGAGTCCAAAGTGGAGCATCCATGTACGTGATAGCCCCAAGGGGGATCAGAGTCTGCGTGAACTGGATACTACAACTCAGTGGTCTTTGTACATGATGTTGTCTTTAGATGATGTTATGCTGGTTTTCCTCTAGGAAATCCTTTGAGTTTGAGGACATTCAGGGCTTCCGCAAGTGGGTGTCTGCCACCAGGGCCCATAAACTTCAAGAAGAAACAGATGGCACTGCAGGACCCAGGCTCATCTACACACAGTCAGAAGACAACATCTATGAGGACATTATCTGTATGTGCCTGTGCTTCTTGGGGATTCACTCACGTTGTTTAGGGGTAGCTAAACTGCTGGGGAGGGAGAAATGAAGATGAGGGCACTGAGGACCCATCCAGCTCTGTGACTTTTATGATCTTCCCCATCTGAGTTCCTCATTGGTGTTAATAATTATCTGTTTATGAATAACTGTGCAGGATAACTGTCTGCATCTGGTTTCAGATGTCATGGGAGGCTGCTAGAATGGACTTGTGCTAAACTGATTTCTTTATTAGCTCTTCACATCCCCTGCTTGAGTACCACAGTGAGATTGTGTGGGTACTGACCAAACTAACTGCTTTGCAGTTGAGCTACTTTCTCCACAGTGGTAGAAATGTTCTACTTCTCTGAGTCCGTGTTGCTTGCCAATTTTATGGTAATGAATTAGGTGGACCTATAGGTGGTAGAAGCCTAATCCATGCTTAAAAAGGTGTCTCTTCAGACTCCATTCAACCTTCGCAGACAACCGCACAGACCACAGACTTTCCTTGCTTTTTTCCCTTGCAAGAATTCAGAACTTTAGCTTCTTCTGTAAATCCCCCATTCAATGCTTCTTCCAGGTCCTGCAAAAGAGAACCCCTATGAAGATATCAGAGTGCTGCCTTTACCCCTATGGAAGGTCCCATCTGTTTGGAAATTACCATCTTCCCAAAGCCCTAGTAGAGCTCCAAAGGTAGGGTGAGGGGATTAAACCATCATGTGTTTATGAAGAGTCGTCTTTACAAGGGCCCTGTTTTGTGTTGCTCCTCTACCCTAGTTTGTCAGCGCTATGTCATTGTTTTTCCTTTTTATTTTTATTGCTTGTTATGTATATAAATGATAATAAACAGCCATGGCAGTGACAGTTCATAAAACTACTAAGGAACAAAAGAATAGAATCAGGAGTGCTTAGATGAGATACTTGAATGTGCAGGATGGGGGTGGGAGAGAAAGCTTTGGAGAGCAGGAAGTTGCAGGAAATTTATCAATCATAATCTGACTTTTTTACCTCTGAACTTGGACCAAAGCTGTATCCCATGCTTAGCCATCCCTTCTGATTCTATTTTCTAGCTTCCTCCAAAACCTTCCTTCCTCAGTCGCAAAACTTTTGAGCTAAAGCCTTCCCTGACAAGTTTGCAAGGGAAAATTGTGAAGGACACGACCTTGCCTGTCACACTGACCGACTGGAAGCTGTTCCGAGCAGTAGAGGCTACTAACAGGAGAAAGAACTTGCCCTGGGTGAGATTTAAGCATGAAACATTTCTTCTTTCATGGTATTTCCAATCCTTGCTTCTTTGTCCAGCACCTCTGAGTGCTTCGTGTGTCTGGCAGGTAAATGCTCTGTGCAAATGATTCTCTTGAACCATTTCCTTCTGAGGAGCAGGGCAAGTATTGGGAAGCTGAAGAACAGAGAGCCAGTTCTGGGTGGGCCAGTAGCAGTTTTGTTGATGAATAATCTACAAATGGGGTAATAGGTCAAATGGATAGCAGTTCTATCTGTGGATACCAGCTGTTCCTAGTGCTTTGTCAGCAAGGCCTTGTTCCACGAAGTATGATGATGTTTTATGCTGAATGCAATGCAGGAAGGCAGGGAAGCTCTTTGTAAGCTAAAGGGTCAGTGCTGTACTGTTCTGTTTGTGCGTACGTTTCTCCTGGGGACTTCTTAGGCTGAGCCCTGTGTTCTCACTGCAGGGACAGCTGTTAGGTGGCTGACAACATGGGGCTGTCAGAAGGCTGGGCACTTGCTTACTTGACATTCTGCCTTGTAGTTCTTGACTTTGGGAACGCGCTCTTGCAGCTGTTTCCATATTCTAAAGGTGAACAGCACCTCGTTGGGATAAGCCCATTTCACAAAGCCTTCCTACAGTTCCTTTGCTGCTTCTGATTGTTCCTTTCTGCCTGTGTGCAAAATACTGATATGCTTCTGAGCAGTGAGAGAGGCCTGCAATTCAGTTTTGCGCTAGAGGGTTCATTCTGATTCTCATTTGACGTGCTTGGAAACTATCTAAATACTGGTATTAGTTAGCACTTTGAAGCATGTGCTATAGAAGGACAGCTGCAGCTACCACTGAGTGCTGTATGTGTGGCACATGGTGTGCAGGACTCCAATTCCAGTTGTAGTAGTGACAACTTGCTTTTGCCATGATAAAATCATTAACTTCTGCAGATCATTATTTTTTTAGAACATGTGCTCCATTTGAACAATTTGCAGAGGACTGTGAGGTATAATTGGACAGCTGCAAAATGCTTTGCACACATTAAGTGTTTTGGAATAATAAGGAACATTTGAATGTGCTTTGTTTTTGTTTTTTGTTTTTGTTTTAAACAAACTGCAGGCTTGGAAAATTGTTGTTACTGGAAAGATTGTAAAAATGCTGTGATGGAGGATATCTTTCTTTTGGAGGAGGAAAGTGTAATGTTCCCTAAAGCAAACCTACTCCAAAAATCTGGTAATAATTTTCGTGCAGGAAGCACACTGCTCCTAGGGAATTGAGCCAAGATTACTCAAGAGATTGAGAAAAGGATTTTAGGCTAAGAGGAAAAAATGTTATTGCTCAAGAAACACAGAAGAAGCCTTAAACACACCCAGTATCTTCCACTGGTGACTCAACTGTACAAAAACGAGAACAGAAATTGAAAACTTCTCAATAATGCTGGATGGTAGAGGGAAAAGAAGGCAGATTTTGCAAAGGAAGCACCATCTCCTGAGGTCTGTTTTCTTCCTTTCAGCATCATTTTTAAGACATGTTAGTCTAAAGCAGAACGCCAGGAGATGACATGTGTGAGGACATTTGAAAAGGAGAAGAGCTAATTATAGTTTGCTGAACTGAGGATAAAGGCTTGAGCTGAAAAACAGGTTCTCTTTCTGAGTATCTTCCTTTTTATGCAGTTTTTGTGGTGACAAATGGCTGGGCACACCCTGCTACATCCAGTAGGAGCATTTAATGAATTCTTAACTGGAGACAAGAATGAACTTGATCTGCTGTTTGCATTTAAAGTAAATCCTTCACAGTGAATGATAGCAGTCTCTGACATGCAGAATCAAGGAGCTGCCTGCAGCATTGTATACCTGGCAGATGAGGGTAAGAGTCCAGAGAGGTCTATGACAGGAGTAACAGAAAGCTTTATGATTTTGGTTTTAAGGCCTTTGTGACCAGTGAAGTGAAGGTTAGCAGTGCTGACATGGAGTGGCAAATGCTGACACTTCTTCTGTGTCTGTGGTCTGCTTTGAACTGTGTTGTTTTCCAAAGTTTTTCTTCCAGCAAGACTAAGTCTGTGGTTTGCCTGCAGCATAGACCCATTATTCAGTTCCACTGTCTTTTATTACCTGTGCAAAATGAAAGTATTTAATCCGTTAATTTTGGCAGTTTGCCCTGGGACAAGGACTTAGTGCAGCCCTGCTCTGTGCTCAACCTGTGTTTTGGAGAACTTACTCTAGCTATCTGACAGTTAACAACAACAGAAACCACCAAAACCAAGCAAAAAAAGTGAACTACACTGGGGGAGTTCTTCTGTTCATTGGGCTTGGAAAGAATCTGAATACTTAAGAGCTTGTGGAGTTCAGAGTCGTTTGGTGGAGGGTTTATAAGATATTCTTGCAAGGGCCTTTGCAATAGAAGACTGAGATCTGATGCCAGCCAGTTTGACACTTCTGCTGTCTATTTTGTAAGAAAAATACAGCTTCCAGAATGTATACATGGTTTAATGCTAATGCTAAGCTCTCTCTTGCAGCAGAAACTATGCCCATTCGTTACAATTAACTGCTAAAAGTATTCTAGCAAGCAGTCTCTGAGCCAGGGTCCCTGGCAAGGATTTGGCAACTTTTCCCAAGTGTTGTGGTCCTAGATGACAGATGTTGGGCTCTAGTCCTGCTGGACCCTTTTCTGGACCCCCTTACTAATCTCTGGTTCTGCTTTGGATTTCAGATGGTGCTAAAAATACAGGAGATCTTTGTTTCTAAGCGTGGGAAGAAGAGGGTGAAGTTGCTCAGTCCTGCTGGGAAGGAAGTGCCTCCAACAAAAGGTACAGAGCTCTCCAGCACTATTCTCTTCCATACAGAATTGTTGAGTGGCACGATTTCTGTATGTGCTGGCGTACTCTTAGCAGACTTCCTGCAGCTCATTCTGGGCTGACCTAACATGGGCTGAGCCCCATGTCTTGCAACTGGAACTGTTGGACTTTCAGCACCAGTAGGACTGGGAACACTTGACTTACATTTAACACTGGTACAGGAGAAAGATTCCCCTGTAGTCTGAACCTGAAGAGCTGGAGTGATGGTTCAAAGTGCTTTTTCAAAGAAACAGAACAAAACCAAAAATTCGATGTAAAACCACTTGGCACTAGAACTCTCTCTGACTGCTCCACTTTTCTGTGCCTCTACAATGATAGTCTTGTGTGCTCAAAAACTACAAGTAGTGGTATGATCTTTATTTATAGTATATTCTGTCCAGCAATTTAGAGTATATTCTGTTAACTTTTACAGCAGCTTCAAATAACCACTTGGTTGCTCTTTGCCTCTGATCTGCATCCTGGAAACAGGGATCTTAATCAGCTCTACTTCCTGGAATTTACTGTTGTAGCACATTTGCCAGTAGTGGTTGTTCTTTGCTGGTGCCTTGAGCAGGATAGATGAGCAGGATTGATCTGATGAGTCTAAAGTTCTCTCTCTTTCCCAGGTTAGGGTGTTGCCCATCTTCCTTCTGCATGGCTAATAAGTGAAAACTGTGTGTGTTTCAGGTGAAACCAGTGGAAATGAAAGTGATACGGAAAACCAGCCAAAAAGTGAGTGAATCACGGGGGCTGGTCCCATCCCACAGCACAACGCATTTGGCCAAGATTCTAGTGGGATGACCATGCTGACAAGTTGTGGCTAATGCCAAGACAGAGAAAGGGCACATCTCAGAGTTGGGGTGGCCAAGGAGCTGGGAGCTATCGCAGTGACAAATCAACTTCTGTTTCACCCACTTCTCCTGAGTCTTTCAGATTTAAAGACAACAATCTGCTAGCGACTAGCAGTGTTGCTTTGGGATGTATGGAGGACGTGGCAGGAGAATGCTAGTTATCAAGCACAATAGATTGCTGAGTTGCTGGAAGGCAGTTTTGCTCCTTTATCTGGAACTGCTCTGAACTTGACAAATGGACCCAGGAGTCCAAGGCCCATAGCATGCAGAAGTTCTATGACATTAGTCAGATGCACCAACCCTTTCTCCCCTTAATGAAGGTGATGACAGTTCCCATTCTGTGACTTGATAGGTATCTAGCAGTGAAAGTCACAGGCTGGTTTTGGATTTGTTCCTTTCTTCAGGTCGACACAGGGGCCTCCTACTGGTGCAGTCAGCCTCCAGGAGGAACCCACACTACCAAACATTGGAGAGAGATTTAATAGAGCTCCAGGAGCAGCAGCTGTTTGAGCTGTTTGTGGTGGTGTCACTACAGAAGAGGGCATCTGAGATAAAATACACACCACAAATCATACAGCAGTTTCCCAGCAAGGTAAGACCTGCATGGAAACACTGACACAAAACGCAGCAGCTGTTTATTTCTAAGAATTCTGTCCGTGCTGTCAGAAGTAATCCAGTGATTATTATGAGTATTATCCTAACCTCGTTAACAGAGGTTATTGTCCAGCAGCATAAGGGATTTCTTTGCAAATAACTTAATTGTTTTTGACAAGTACGTATTTTGGATTCACAAAATTAATCAGGGACGGTAGCCAGAAAGAATGCAAAGTCTTAATTAATGGGTAGAATTGAATATATGTGCTGACTGAAAGTACAGTCCTTAAAATATCAGCTGTATGGAATAAACTTTGCTCTTCTCAGGGATGTTTTATACTTAAATGAAATCTCTATTATTTGAAAACCATCCTTTTGCCCTTTCTGGGCACTTTAAGAATTGAGAATTTTCCTGTCTTCAGATCTCCTAAGAGTAGAAGTGAGGCAAGCTGCCTAATGGCACAGCAGTTGTTTGGGTGCTTCATTTAGCCATGGCTCTGAATCTTACTCAGTTCATACCACAGTCAGCTAGGCAATTTTAAGAAGGTCCAATCAGCAGCTAAGTTGCAAGAGGGAACTGGGAAACTTTTTTAATGAGAATGATTTCTCCCATACTTGTAGATTAACTATCAGGTGGTTCAGCACCTGGAATAATCAAGAAGATACTGTCCCCTTTTCTTTTAAATGCTGCAGCTGTGCATCACACTTCAGTTACTTTAAATGTATGTTACCTCTCCAGCCTGAACATCGCTTCAGACAGTCAAAGGATACTGAAGAGAGGCTAAAGGTCATTCCCAAATTCTGCTTTCCAGATCCCAAAGACTGGTTTCCTGCGTCAGACCTTAAAAGGTAAAGACTTGCTGTGTACAGATGGGTCTGAGGTGGGTCTGAAGTCTTAGATATGTAGAAGTTTCCTGGATCTGAGGAACTGCAGCCATAGCAAGGAAAAATGGGAAAGGCTGAATGTCTAAGCCCTGTGAATGGGGAAGGTGAGATGGAGGGGGGCTCAGCAGTATTGCATCTGTCTTATCATCTTTATTATGAGTTTTTGTTTGGCTACTCATAGCAGAGGGGGTCTTTGGCATGATCAGAAGGATACCTTACAGTTTGTATGGAGCACGTTTTACTTTGTCAATCTTGTCTGAACTGTATGGTGAATTTAACTCTTGACTCTTCTTTGGTTTCCCAGTGAAACATTTTCTTTTGTGTTGACGGGTGAGGATGGCAGCCGCTGGTTTGGATACTGCAAGAAGCTCCTGGTAAGCATCTGTGTTTTGGGTGGAGTGTAAAGAACGCACTGTTAAATGCACAATCAAATGCAGAATATGAATCAGCAGTAATTTCCCATGTGGCTTAGGCAGCTCCTGGGCTGCTGCTGCTCCTGCTGAGGTTACCAGTCATTTAATTGCATAAGGGAAGGAGCATGACGATGCCCAGCAATACAGTAAAGTGAGTTCTGGGAATAACCTGGAGCCAGTTATTCCTCAGGAATCCCACAAGGCGGAAGTGTAGAGGGTGCTACAGCAGAATACTGTGAATCAACTGCACTGTGTGTGTTAGTTTGTTTATTACATCCGTGCTCTCAGCGTAACTGATCCTTTGCTTTTCAGCCAGAAGGGAAAGGGAAGCGCCTTCCTGAGGTGTACTGCATCGTCAGCCGCCTGGGCTGCTTCAACCTCTTCTCCAAGGTGAGATGGGAAACCCTATTCATCCGTGATATGAGTCTGACAACCAGCAAGCACCAAGAAGTAACTGGATGCTTTTCTCCAGTCTAGAATTTTCTAAGCAGTTGTAGTCCATCAGTGCAGTGCTTCCTTGCCAATTTTTCTACTTTGACAGGGCAAATAATTACACTAGGGCTGAGAATTGTCAGCTGGCATACAGAAAATTCAGCAAATTATTGTCAGGAAGTGGCTCCTAATACTTGTTAATATTGATAGTGTCCCTTCATCCTCTTCTTTCATGACTTGGAAATGAAAAATCATTTATTTTGTGGGGAAGAGGGTAACGAGGGAAAGATCTCAGCTTGTTTCTCCTAGCACAGTAAGGAGAATAGATAAGGAACTAAACACTAGAGAAAGCTCTTGCAGATACAGAGCAGTTACTGCAGAAGAGTATGGGACAAATTTGTGATGACAGCTGATATCTAATAATTGGACCAGTGTTTCAGAAAGATGATTTGGTTGAGATGTTGCCCTTCTTCCCCCTCTAACTAGAGTATCTGATTACAACATGTAAGAGATTTCCTTAGAAAGCAGTAGGAGGAGGAGTATGGAATTGAGAATGGAGAGCTGTACTTACAGTTACCTGTTACCATTTGCTTGTTCAGACATTTGAGAGAAGCTTACACAAGAATCCCAGGGCAAGGAGGAAGGAGGGCTGTGAGTCTGTGTTGGACCCCTCATGCTTAGCTATGGAATGGGGCATAACATAGGCTTGTATTTCTTTGGGCTGACCAGCGTGCAGTGAATCAAAGTCTGATTTATTTGCAGATTTTAGATGAAGTGGAGAAAAGGCGAGAGATGTCCCCAGCCCTCGTCCACCCATTTATGCGTAGTGTAATGGAGGCACCTTTCCCTGCTCCTGGACGCACTATTACTGTGAAGAGCTTCCTGCCAGGAGCAGGAAATGAGGTAACTGAATTCAGGACTGGTTTTCCTGTGTTGACTGGTGTCTGTGGGGCACAGTGGCATTTTGCAAACTGCACTGTGGAGTGATACTGTCTGTAAATCATTGATTTGATGGTAATTTCCAGACTGACTAGAGGTTGTCAGAGAAACCAGCTTCCTACTGAACTGCACAGTAGAAGTGATTCGTTGCTTTTTTTAAAGGAAGAGCTGGTTGTGAGTCTTTGAGATGCTCTGAACTGGCCATCCAGGTGATGTGGGTTCAACCTGTGAGGATCCAACACTTCTGCTTTCCAGTCAGGTCCTCCCTCACCCAGCCTAATGCTGTGATCTGGCTGTTCCATCCAGCACTCTACATCTCTGCTGTTCCCAGGTTATGAAACTCTGCCGTCCGTCGGATTCTCGACTTGAACATGTTGATTTCGAATGCCTGTTCAGGTGCCTCAGTGTCTCTCACATGATACGGGTCTTTGCCTCTCTCCTGCTGGAAAGGAGAGTGATCTTTGTTGCTGACAATTTAAGGTAAAAAATGAGTCTGAGTGACCAGTTCTTTCTGAGGGATGTTGTTTTTTCTCTTGTGTTTGGGCCTGTTTCATGTGCAAGCTTGTCTAACTTTCTGTAAATAATTAGGTTTAAAAGCTTTTGGCAGACTCTCCACAAAACTTGTGCATGCTTAACATTTGGAGTGTGCTGCTTACCCAAGAGGAGACAAGGGAATGTTTCCTTTACCTCTTTAGTCTGGGCTGATGCTATTCCTAGCTCCCCATAACCGACTTCATAAATGGTTGCATGGGGCTTCTTCTGATGCACAAGCAACATACGTAAATTACATTTCCTCAGAGCATTTCTAACCTATGTCTGTAGCAGAACACTGAAAGAGACACTGACAATCCACTCTGTGCTTCCCTTACTTTTTAGCACCCTGTCTAAATGTGGCCATGCTGCAGTTGCAATACTTTATCCCTTCACTTGGCAACACACGTACATACCAGTGCTACCAACTTCTATGATTGATATTGTGTGCTCTCCGACTCCATTCTTAATTGGCATTCTCTCCTGCTCATTACCACAGCTCCAAGACCTGCCTGTAGAAGAGGTGAGAACTGGGCAAAACACTGTGGAGGGACAATTGCAGTGGAATTAGGCTGACTTCTTTGGAAGAATCTTTGTGGATTCTGTCTTAATGTAAAGTCTTAAACCTTTCTGAGACAGTTTTTAATTTGCAAGATACATGACATCACATTCCTTTGCTATCAAAGATAAATAATATTAACTGTTCTTAGAGGCTGAAATCACACAAAACTTGTCTGTGACATCCCCTAACACTGGGGACAAAAGAAAAGTTTTATATATATATAAAAGTTATTGTTTTTCTCATTCTGCATGTCAACATACATAGTTATAAGAGCTAATATTTTTTTGTCTGTCTTTCCCTAGGTTCTGATTGTTGATCTTTGTGCTGACAAGTTTTTGCAAGAGGTGAGTGAAAGACTGAAATTACAGCACTGGTTACCGTTGGTGGTGTTGTATGCCAAGAATAGGATCCACAAATGTAAGCAAGAAATCAGTTAAATCTTGTTTTCAGCTGTAGACTCCAGTGGCTGAAGAAATATCTTGCATTCCTTTTTTATCACTAGAGAAGGGAACAGACTTGTTTTAAGGCTGAGGTTGCGGGAGCAACAGCACAGAGCACTCAGCATGCTGCTGAGCTGGATGTAAAAAGAGGTTCTTGGTTCAGCATGTGAAGTGGATCACTAGGATTCTTTGTTGCATTCTGGCTGTCTTTCTGGACTTATTCTCTACATGATTTTCCCCTCTCTCATCTAGTTAGGGTGTTTTTGTTTGTTTGTTTTCCCAGGAGTGATAGTCTGACACAAATTGTCACAGTTCACTTGTGATTCTCTGCTGGCCCCAAACTTTACTAAATGTGCTGAAAACACCTTCTACATCACCAGACAAGTCACTATGAACTTAGTGGAGTGTTCCTAGTTCAGGAGGATATTTGCATCTCTTTTCCCTTGCCTTACTGTTCTATTTTGCACTGCAGCCTGCAAGTGGAGAAAGGTATTAAAGGATTGTTTTCTCACTAAAATGTTGAGACATATTTGTCATATTTTCTCAATGACTGCTGTTGTGTTTTATCACTGCTCTGATAAGCCTGAGTCTGTGTAGTGGATTTGGTATACGTTGTTTTGTGTTAATGCATGCATTGATTTTAGTTGTACAGAGAAGGCATTGGGCAAGTGTTTTTCATTTCTGTGGCAACAAATATATTGTCTCTGCCAGGGTGCAACACATCAGAGTAACTTCCCTCTAATTGTTCTAGGCATGTTAAGAGTATTTCTCATCAGTTCATGAAGAGAAGTTTCTGTTGAATAGATGTAACACAAAAAGCTTTCATGGTCACTTTTCTGTTCAGGTATCGGATGAAGAAGAAATCCTGCCTCATAAACTCCAGGCTGCACTTGTCCAAATTTTGGAGGAGAGAAATGAAATCTTGTCACATGAGCAGAGCTGTACCCAAGGTATATCTATAGAAAAGTCAGCACCTCTTCAGTTGCCAAGTTGCTGCCACGGAAGTGTGCAAATGGAAATAAACTTTACAGAGTAACATTTTATAAAGCTATTTTCCTGTGATCTTGCTGATAACATATTTCATGTGAATGTATTAGAAATCTGCTCTCCTAATAATTGTTCCTCTTTTCACAATCAGTGTGTGGAGAACTCTGGTGTTACTTAGGCCAAGTGTATCAGTTCCCATGCTTTGAGTTTTCTGTGATTTTCCTGAAGTGGTAGAGAGGAAGTTTTTCTTAAATGGAGAACAGAGTAGATTCTCTGTACTTCAGAGGATAATTTGACATCGTTTTCAGAGTTGCTCTTTGTTCTTGATACACAGTCCTTCAGATAAATTAATCTGAGAATTTCAGAAAGCACTGAGTTGCTTGAGAGAATGGCATTGAAATTGTGATTTCATGGTTGTCAGTGTAAGAAAGTTTTCCACTAGGTTTGTGTTTTGTGATTTGCCTCGCTCTTTAAAAGAATTAGACTATTATGAACTTACTGCTTATTAGTTTTTTACTGGGGGGAAAGAAATTATGAATGCTTTCATTGCTGGAAAAGCTTCAAAATGGAACCTGTCTCAGCAGAAAGTTGTCACGGGAGAGGAGTCTAAATACTTGAGCCAAGTCTCCTTTGGTATTGAACACCTATATGAAATTTCATAGTCTGAGAAAGCCAGCCGAGAAAGCATCTGGTGCTCTTCTTTTAGAAGAGGAGTGTCCAAAGTGACTCATGTTAGAGGGACATTTCTCCTCTGCTATCTTCTTCACAGGTGACGTGCCTCTTAACTCCCTGGTTTCTGAAGCTTTTGTGCACTTCTTTGTGGAGATTGTTGGTCACTATTCCCTGCACATGAACGTTACAGAAAAAGGAGAGCGAGTGTTCCAGCGGGAGCCATTCCGTAAATCCCACACGTCACGCAATGTGCGCCACTTCCTGCACTTCTTCATGGAGACACAGATGTTTGCAGGGTTCATACAAGATCGAGAGCTAAGTAAGAGTGCTGTCAAAGGTGAGGCTTTCTTGTTTTACAAACTCGCTTCCACATCACATATCTTTAAATCTTAAAAAGCCTTTTGCCCCAGCAAGTTTTCCTGTTGGTGTATGTAATAGCTCTGTGCCCTTCTAGTTGTTCAGTAAAGTTAATCTCATTAAGCAAAGGATGCCTTTGTCTCCCTCCTGGCTTTGGTCCTGCACACAACCTCACACACTCGATGTTGATGCCTGAGGTGGAGGATCTCACCCAGCTGTGTGCTGCTTTCTCTCTGTAGGCCTTTTTGAGGTCCGTGCCTTGGAGTATTTGGAGAGCATTCCAGAGACTGAGCCGACCGGGATGAACAGAATCCTTCGCACTCTTGGTAAGGAGCTTTTTTATATTATTTCCCTCCAATATTTTGCCTTGTGTACACATGCTGCTTTCCTTTGCCTGGCCCAAGGAGGCTGTGGATGCCCCTGCAGGCATTCAAGGCCAGGCTGGATGTGGCTCTGGGCAGCCTGGTCTGATGCTTGGTGACCCTGCACACAGCAGGGGGTTGGAACTGGGTGAGCATTGTGCTCCTTTTCAACCCAGGCCATTTCATGATATAACTGTAAGGTATTTATTTTAAATAAAAGTTTTGGCTTTGGATAAAATGTGTGGGAATGGTCTAATCCCAGAGTTGTCCGAACTTGGCGTTTTGGGCTTGGCAGTACGTGCAGCACAGGACAGAAGTCCTTTATGTAGGTTTCTGCCCTCAGAAGCTCCTTGGCCGGCACCCTGACGCGTCTCCAAATCCTAACGTGTTGTTTTGTTTGTGTTTTTCTTCCCTTTAGGAAGTAAGATGAAATTTCTCCAGAAGAAATGAACGTGCGCTGTCGTAGAACGGCAGAGAGCCGCGAGGAGGCGGGTGGAGAACCAACGCCTGCCCGGAGCCGGACTGGCAGCTCCCACCACATCTGAGGCGGCCGCGCCGGGCCGCCATAACAAGCAGCAGTGCCGCAACGAACTTCGTGTCCTCTCCTCTCTGGGCGGGGCGGGGCGGGTCCGGGCGGTGCGCGCAGGCGCAGTGCGAAGCGTCGCTCAGTCTGAGGGTGGGCGCATGCGCGCTAGTCGCGCGCATCATGGCGGGACCCGGGTTGGTGGCGGGAGACGTGGTGGTGGACGCGCTGCCCTACTTCGATCAGGGCTACGAGGCGCCCGGCGTGCGCGAGGCGGTGAGTGCGGGCCGGGCTGAGGCGGTGCGGTGCCGCGCGGTGCCGCGCGCCCCGTTCCCGCCTGACGCCTCCGTGCGTTAGGCTGCGGCTCTGGTGGAGGAGGAGACGCGGCGCTACCGGCCTACGAAGAACTACCTCAGCTACCTGCCGGCACACGACTGCAGCGCCTTCGAGGTGAGCCGCCCCGTCCCGTTCCGCTCCGTCCTGCCGCGCCGTCCCCGCGCCCGCCCCTCACCGCCCTCTCCCCGCAGACCGAAATCATGCGGAACGAATTCGAGCGCCTGGCGGCCCGGCAGCCCCTGGAGCTGCTCAGCATGAAGAGGTGAGGGCTTGGCTGTGGGGAGGATTGCGGCGCGGAGCTCCGGGCGGGATCCGAGCGGCGCTGCGTTTCAGGTACGAACTGCCGGCTCCCTCCTCCGGGCAGAAGAACGACATCACGGCGTGGCAGGAATGCGTTAACAACTCCATGGCGCAGCTGGAGCACCAGGCTGTGCGCATCGAGAACCTGGAGCTGATGTCCCAGCACGGCTGCAACGCCTGGAAGGTGTACAATGAGTAAGGCTGAGGTTGGAATGACAGCCCGTGAAATGGGGTTGCGGTGGTTGAAGGTAGAAAAGCTGTCCTGCCGATCCTCCTCACCAGAACTCACTGTTGAAATGGCTAAAAAATGTGTGGAAGTGTGGCTGTAGGAAGCAGCGGGGCTGTTGCAGGCAGGGAGCGTCGATGAGCTCTTCAAAAAATCGTCAGCTTAACTTTAAAGAAAGCGTAGGTGAAAAGAATGCAAACCATACCTTTGTGAGGAGGCCTAGGGACTGATCAGCTTAAGAGAAGGGCTCTCGGTGGAGAATCTGGAGGTGCTGGAACAGCTGCCCAGAGAGGCTGTGGATGCCCCGTCCATCCCTGGAGGTGTTCAAGGCCAGGTTGGGTGGGGTCCTGGGCAGCCTGGGCTGGTATGAAATGGGGAGGTTGGTGGCCCTGCATGAGGCAGGGGGTTGGAGCTTCGTGATCCTTGAGGTCCCTTCCAACCCTGGCCATTCTGTGATTCATTCTGTGGTCTGCTGGCTTACATACATTTGTCAGAGAGCTGCTTGTGCACAGGCAGTGTTACATAGTGGGGAAAAAATGCTGGTTCCGGGTGAGCTTAGTGTGTAATGCAGAAGGTTGGCGGTAAGGTGACGGGATATTTCAGTGCTGTTCTAATGGAAATAGTGGGAGCTTACAGTTACAGTCTTGAAAATTAAAAAATCACCACCGACTATCAGATGTGGCTTTATAACATTGTCTGGCAGCAAGGGTTGGATGTAGTGATTATTAAAGGTGTCTGTCTTAAAGCTGCATATGTTGTAATGTTATCATGTTGCCATAACCTTATGACCTTCAGGAGTGAAGGGCACAGACTGCTGAGAACAAGCATGCTGCTTGCCCTTAGTGGATGGTTGCATGCTGAACTCTTCTGGAATAGTTATGTGGGAGGTTGGCTAAATGGATCTAACTTAGTAACTGTATGTTTTTCTCATGCTTTGCTTCCATTTTGCTATTAGACATCTGGTTCATATGATAGAACAAGCCCAGAAGGAGCTTCAGAAGTTGCGGTAAGTGGTTATTCATAGCCTCATACTGAAGTTGGAAGGAATATAGAAACTATCCACCCCCTCAGCTCTGAAAGAGCTGTGTATATGCTTTTGTAGTGGTTCAAGGAAAGAAGATTCACCTTCCCCCCCCCTCCTTCCCTGTTGTATTTATAACATCTATTCCACTCAAAGTCTGTGGTTGTTTTTCTTTGAACCTCTGCTTTGAGCAGAATGAATTGTGGTAGAATTCTCTTTCAAATGCAGTCATGTTTCCTTTTCATTGCTGATACCATTTTATTTAGCATGCACTTGGCTCCGCTTGGCTGATGTTAGGTTTTGTTTTCAAGTGAATGCTTTAGTAAGTTTGCTAAATTACTGAGGGATGGAGGTGTTATATTGAAGTGATGTTTTTTATCTTCTGTCGGGATTCTGAATGTTGTATTACTGCTTTGTGGTGGTTAGATGCTGGCTGCACCAGTGCTTCCTGGTGGGTACTTCCAGGGCAGCGAATTTCAAGCAGCAGGTTTAAACATTCTTGAATAAATGACAAAGAAGAAAAAAAGCATAGGTCTCTCTTTGTGTGTGTTTTTGTTTTTTTTCCTCAGGAAGAGCATTCAGGATCTGAACTGGCAACGAAAGAACATGCAGCTCACAGCTGGAGCTAAGCTACGAGAAATGGAATCCACGTGAGTAGTTGGGATTTTTGGTACACCTTCCAGGAGTGTCTCTTGTATAGAATTCCCTTATGAAGAACATGAGCAGTTTTCCAGTACTGTCATAGCAGATCATCATATGGCTGCTGTTGATTTGCACAGTGTTCTGAGGGTGCATAGTTCAGCTCTGTGTAATGGTCACTGTGAATGGGTGACACAGTGAATGACAGCAGCTTGAACTTCTCGTGTGGATTGTTTCTTAAACTCTTCTTTATATAATATTGGACATCAGTGTTTTTTAGCCCTTTTTTCCTTACAACATTTCACTTCCTGGATTATGTATTGAGGTTTAACTGTTGAAAACATCTTTTTCTAACTGTGGTTGTTCAGATTACTCCTATTGTGAGCTGAGCTGTGTCGCATCCTGAGACAGATGCTGGTTGTTCATGTCCCTGTGCTTTGCCACACTTGCTGTCCCACTCTTTTGATTTCAAATCAGAGGATTGTTATAAGCCTTGGTAACACCTGACAGCTTTTTTAAATTGTTCCCTTCCAGGTGGGTGTCTCTTGTCAGTAAGAACTACGAGATTGAACGAACAATTGTGCAGCTAGAAAATGAAATTTCCCAAATCAAACAACAGCACGGGGAAGCGAACAAGGAGAACATCCAGCAGGACTTCTGACAGCTGCTCTTCTCTGACCGCTGCTCCGTGTTTTTGCATTTCCTACTGTGCTGTAATAAGCTTTGCTTTGCCCAATAAAGGCTGGTCCTCTCACCACGTGGTTGATGCGCATTAACGACAGTTCAGCGCCGGGCTGAGACCTGGCTGCGCCCTCCGCCCGCGTGGGGGCGCCGTCGGCGGCGGCCAATCGCGACTCACGCCGGAGCTCTCGGAGAGGCTTTGCGGCGCTCCAGCCGGCGGCGCGTCACGTGACGTCACGTCTCGTCTGTCCGCGCACCGCTTCGCACCGGGCGGCCACGCCTGCGCGAGCCCCGGACCCGCCCTCCCGCTGGGGAGCGCGCACGGCGCGTTGTGACGCCGTACGTGCGCGGAGCGGGGAGTCGGGTTCAAAGGAGGAAACATGGCGGAAAACAAAGGAGGCGGCGGCGGCGGGGAGGGGGCTGCCGAGGTCGGGCCGGGCGGCGGCGGCGGTTTGGAGCCCGCGGCCGCGTCCCCCTCGGGCGCGGCGCCGCCCGCACCGTCCGCAGCGCCTCCCGAGGAACGGGAGAGCCCGGGCGCGGCGGCGGCGGCGGAGCGCGGTGTCGGGGAGGCCGAGGCCGAGGCGGGGCCCGGGGTGGTTCCGGGGCCGGGCCCCAGCCCGGTTCCCCCGCTGACGCCGGCGGTGCCGGGGCCTTTCTCGCTGCTGGACACCTGCGCCGTGTGCGCGCAGAGCCTGCAGAGCCGGCGCGAGGCTGAGCCCAAACTGCTGCCCTGCCTGCACTCCTTCTGCCGCCGCTGTCTGCCCGAGCCCGAGCGGCAGCTCAGCGTGCCCGTGCCCGGCGGCGCCAACGGCGACGTGCAGCAAGGTGAGCGGGGCGGCGGGCGCGATCCCGGGGCGGTTCTGTGCCGCCTTCCGAAGCCGGGCCGGCGGAGGCTGCGCGCGTGACCGCCGGCGTTGCGGTGCCGCGATCCTCCGGAATCCTTCCCGGCTCTCGGCTGCGCTCTCGCGTCGCGCTTCCACGTGAGAGCCGAAACTTCGAAGTCGATCTGCTTGTTTGGGGAACGGCGCTGCGAATCGCGCCGTGCTTTTTGTTTTGGCTTTCAGGGGTGCTGCGTTAGAGGCGTGGCTCTGGGAGGTGTTGAGCCGCTCGGCTCTACGAATAAAGCCTCGGCGGCGGTGCTGCCGGGTGCCCCGGGGCGCAGCCTGCGGTGCGTCGTTGGGAGCATCGTTGGGAGCGCGGCGCCCAGGCGGGTGGCACCCGGTACCTTCTGTGCTATGGAAGGAGATTGAACCGCAGCCCTGGGTGGTTCCTCAGGGCTGAGCCCAGCCCCGTGGCCGGCAGGACTCTGCTTGGTGACACTTGTCTGGTTTGGGGAAGGACTCTTCTCTGGGTTGTGTAGTGATGTGTTGTCAGAAGGTTCCAAAAGGAATAACTTCAAGACCCGCCTGGACGTCTACCTGTGCGACCTGGTGTAGGGATCCTGCTTTGGCAGGGGGGTTGGACTCGATGATCTCTGGAGGTCCCTTCCAACCCCTACGATTCTGTGATTCTGTGATAACTCAGCTGTGGTGGTTCTGCTGGCTGTGCTGACTGCAGGCAGTTCAGCTGGGATGTGGGTCCAAGAAGATCCATCGCTTCCTCAAGCACGAGGCTCCCAACACGGTTTATAAACACACTAACTGAAGCACTCGGTTGATCTTGGGATCTCCCTTGCTAAATTCCAAGCTCTGTGCTGTGTGCTGAGAGATACTGTGAAGTTAGGCTCGTTGTAGCAGTAATTAGCAACACTGTCTGGATATATCTGCTAGGATACAGGTACAGTGAAACCAGAGTCTCTCTTCTGAGTTACTGATAACCTGGAATCTCAATTCTCAATGTCACCCACATTGTAAGAGTGCTTGATGGTGTGCTTTGGTGCGATAAGAATTCATCTCCT